TTTTATCAAAAGAATATTATTACATTATATATTGTGTAATAGGTCTAAATATAATATGACATAATATTATAGGATTACCAAATCCTATACATAGAAAAATGAAATGATATCAATTATGTATACATTATATTTTACTTAACTATTAATAAAATTGATAATTTTTTTAATTTTTTTCTTTATTTGGCTGTATGGGTGATCTCCTTTACCCCACCTCTTTATCAATGATTAATTATTTTACTCATGCCAAACAGCATTTTATTCTTAATGTATCATAAGGCAACTATATTAGTACGTAGTTTAAATAAATAAGGGGCACCATTGAGTGCAGTATCCGACCGGACCATTTTTGTGTTTTAGTGGAACTGACATCACTTTCTTGCTCATCAAATCTCTTATTAATTTAGCATTATAATTACTCCATGACTAAACCCAAAAACGGGTGAGTCCTTATTTGTCCCTAACCATTTTATGATGACAGTTGATAGGGAGAAGAAAATTTGGTACCGAATTAATAATATGATATAAATTATATTAATTAATTAATTAATATATGTAATATTATAAAATAAAAAATAAAAAATAAAAAATAAAAATTAAATAATTAATTTTTCTTATATCAATTTCTAAATAACCACAACAAAATTAATAACCCAACAAAACTTTAACAGAACTTTATTACAAAATTTAACAAATTTCTATAATACTTTTTAATTTTTCATATATTACTTTTTTAACCATTTTCTCAATAAAAATTTTTATAATAAAAGGACTCTATAATCCTACAGGCTTTAAGGATACAAGTTTTAAGGATATGTTTGGTTGCCAATATCTCAAGAAAACATTTGCATGGAAGCCGAGCAAATAAAAATTAGACGGCTTGGTATAGGAATGTATGTTTTCGGTACAAAAATCAAGAAATATAATTGGCTATATGCAAAATATAAGTGGTTATAAGTAGTAATAATTAATATAGTCCTTTATGTATTGGCTTAATCAGTTATATAGCTTGAAAAATGTCTTTTTAGAGTTTTTGACTAGGAAGCAATTTCTGGATATTATATCCTGTTATATCCTTATATAATCAACTATATCTCTATTTAACAAATTCCGGCTGGAATCAAAATTTGAGAGAAGCCAGCTAACTTCTTTTTTTGCTCAGTTTCTCTGCAAATGTTTTCTTGGGATATTGACAACCAAACATACCCTAGAGATAGGAAATTCCAACCTCCACATATCTTCCCTCACTCTTTGATAAATTTCAGTAAAAAAGAAAAAATCGTTTCGGAGTTAGCTTACTTGTTTTTAATTGAGGAAAATAACAATAAAACATTATTTGCATCAAAAGTAATTTTGCTTGTCAATTTCTCCTTTTTTTTTTCAAGGGAACAATCAAGTAAATACAGTGTCTTAAGCCGCAATGGGCAAAAGCACCAATAGGGATTGAATTGTGACAATCCTCAAGAAAATGGCCTTTTTGAACTAGTTGTGAGTATCGGTTAGGATTGAATTATGACGAAAGAAATATTAGGAGGAAATTGTATCATGAAAACTTTTGTTAGACTAATAAACTTTTGCTAAAAGGGGATAATGCTCCTCAAAATTATTCCTTTTCAACGAAAAAACGAAGGTAGTCCTTTAATTAGGACGACTTCGTGTTTTAGTGTTGTGTTAGGTTGTATTGTATTGTATTTATAGATTTTTTATTTTTATTATTTAATAATAAAAGTAATGTATGTTAGTTTAAATTTTAAAAATTAAAATTTTAATTTAAAAAATATCATACTTTAATAAATATGTTTAAAAATAATTGTTATATTTAATATTTTATTTATATAAATTATACATATTAATTTTAAATTGATTGAATATATAATAATTAATTCATTAGTTTAAAAAATTACTATCATTAAATATATATTAAAAAATTAAAATTTTTTTATCAAAGATTGTAAATATTATATTAACTTAAAAATTAATGTATACAATCTATATTAATTAAATGTTAAATTTATTGATTAATTTTTAAAAATATTCA